CAAAACCCCAAAACCCCAAAACCCCAAAACCCCAAAACCCCAAAACCCCATGCGAATAAATCTTCAAAATCCAAACATTAAGACTAAATTAATTAAATTGAGGTTTAAACCTCAGATGTTATTATGAACTCAAAGGAACTCTCACTAGGGGACTAGGTCAAATGCAAGATACGGAGTGCCTCTGCAGGTAAGAGATTTGAAATATCCGTGGTAAGTATCCCCCTTAAAGTTGAATCTACTGAGGTCAAGCTATCCTCTGTATAGAGGTCTTGGATTGGGTGGGCTTTGGTTCCATCCCACGATGATCACAAAGTTAATTCCACCTTCAGCAGAAACTGAGAATGAGTCGTTGGGGTTGCCAGGCTCTCCAGAGGACCAGGCAAGATCTCTTGGAACTATCATGCCTCCAGCTACTTTGGGAGAACTTCTAGTGGCGCCACTAGTAATAGTAAGCACATCATAGTCCTTTCCATCATCGCATCTCTTTTTGTCTCTGTTGAAGGTAGGGTTTGAGAGACCTTTCACAATATTGTAGTAGCTTCTCCCTTAGGGAGTGAAAGGAACTTGAAGATCGGATGGTTCAACAAGGAATTCTGAGAGTTTGGTGGATTCCATGCAGCAAAGGTTGATTCCACCTCTGAACCCGTTTTAGCCAAAGCCCTCATTGCCACATCTATCTCCTTTTGTGTTAGTAGCCAGATTCCAGTCCTTGCTGACAGATGTTTATCCCTGGGAAACTGGGTATTTACCTCCACAGGTAGTGCACCACTGGCAAATAGGTTGACTTTTGCAGCAGAGACTAATTCCTTTTCTGCCATCAGAAATTTCTGCAGCTCTGTCAGCTATGCTCCCACTGCACTATCCACCATAAGTGTAAGAATTCCACCAGTAATATGACCAGGTGTCGAACCTATTCACGTATCCTCCATAGAAAGGGAAATCCCCTCCACAAGAAGAGCATTATCTGCATTCTCCAAGGTTTGAGTTGGCATTATCTGCTTAGCAGCAAAGAGCAGCTGAACCTGAGCTAGAAGTGCTGCCCTAACAAGCTCCATTGAATGATTTATGGAAATCTGACCATCCATCTCCAATGACAATACCTCCATGCTTGTTGTATGTTCCACTTGGGCAGCTTCCTCCATTATTTCCTGAGGAGCATTGCTTGCATGAATTTAGGGTAATTGGGACGAAGGGAACCCCAGCTTGCTTGCAAGTAGAGCCAATCCATCCCTAATCGCAAAGACACTTCTGGTAGACAACACCATTAAAAGGTGAGTTGGTATTGAAACTTCCAGATGGTGCACAAATTCCATGAGAATTGCAGTAGTTGTTTCTACAATCTAATCCCTTTTGTTATGCCTGATCGTAGTAAGCCTTGATTTTTTAGAGGCCAGCGTTATATTAGGGGAATCTGCTGCTGAGTTCCCACATCCCCTTTAAGGTGTACTGAATGATCTTGGGCTTGGTAGCAGAGCATCTTTAGATTGTTCCACAAGCAGCCTTTGTACATCCATCTGTATTGAGGGAATATGACATCTTGGAATTGGATACAGCTCCTGAGGTCGAAGTTGAAGATGAGGTGGTGCTCTCAGCGCTTATGCCAAGATTCATTACGGTCACTCCTCCTTGGAAGGTCTTTTTAGCCTCCTGCTAGAATGATTCTTAAGATGAAGAACCATCAGAGAAGAGTTGCACTTGAGCTCTTGCCCCTACCACTGCGGACTCATAATAATGGGTTCCAAAGGTCTGAACCAAGTTATAGGTATCTTGAATGGTTGAAGCTGAATTCTTTCCCAATGCATCCAAAGCTGAAGCGAATGTCGGTGCAAGTTATTAAGGACGCTAAATGTCCCAAGTCATTGAGAACATCTTGGCAACAGCAACCTGATTCATTGTGTAGGTGTTTGAAGTTGATGCGAACTTATATTCTTAAGAAATCTCGTCACTGACGCCAAAATTGAATCCATTTTTGACAGTGGTCGAAGCAGAGACCTTTCCTGTCTCTCCAACTCCGACTTCAGCAGAAACTGTGACCTCGTTTTCATAGCCAACTGACCATGCGTTGGACTAGCTGTTAACTGATGAACTTGAGTATGAGGCGAAGGACTTTGAAGAGGTTGCATAGAACTTGCATTCTTGATTTGTATTTGTCATAAGCTCTATGGGTTTGACTTGCTGTGTTCCGTCGTCAAAGGTAATCGTGTTTTAGTAAGTGGCCTATGAAGGGAGTGTGTACTGGAAGATGTATTGTCTGATATTTGAATCAGGGGCTGGCTTGCCCTCCAAGCCATAAACTCCTCTGAACATATTCTCACCAACCTCTAGTTTGTTTTGTGAGGTCTCTATTAACTTCAGAACACTTGCGGGTTGCCAGTCTCCAGGCTTTGAAATGCCGATTGCACTCCCATGCCCTACCAAAGCCAGGTAGGTAAGGAGTTACGCGCCATAGAGCACTCTCTTATTCATTCGTTAGCTTTTCTTCATAATTTGAATTTTTTAATTCATAATAAAATTTTCACCTTTCTTATTACTTTTGAAATTTGAATTACGGGACAGTTCTATATATGAATTTACATTTAAACAATTTAAAATATTTAATCAAAAATCTATACATTATCGATGTAATCTAAATTTGATAATTTTAGAAGTATGGGGTTTTGGGGTTTTGGGGTTTTGGGGTTTTGGGG